CCCTTCGGGATATTGAGGTTTTTTTCTTTAAACCTTATCAAACCTCATTTTTTAAACCTCGCCTTGCCACCAATGATCTACGCCTCTATATAAGTAACGAAACAGGTGGACTTCTCCACAAATCTGGCTGTCGCCTGATGAAGCTGGTTGTAATTACTGGCGAAACGTCGTACTCAAATTGTAAATGTTGCGGCTTATATTTACGCGATCTAACCCATATTGGTCGCGAAAGCCGACGTGTTAAAACATCTAGGGCATATCCATCCTCCTTTAAACACAGCGTGGGATTGTTTTCACTCCCATTGTGGTCATCTTAGATATGATCAAACATTCAAAAGGGTCCCTAACCTATGTTTTTATTCTAAGGACGTAAAAGACCAAAAAATAAATGTGGTGCTTGTATCCATCGTGACACGAAGCCACCTAGTCCTGTTATGAACATTACAATGCACGGCACAGTGCACGATTCGTAAAGAACACGCACTTACAGGACACAGTGAGTGAAACACAGTGGGATGAGTGTAAGCTCAGCGTGGGGTGAGTAGGAAGTGAGTGTGAGCTCAGTTTAGGGTGAGTGTGGGTGAGTGGGAACTCAGTTTAGGGTGAGTGTGGGTGAGTGGGAACTCAGTTTAGGGTGAGTGTGGGTGAGTGGGAACTCAGTTTTGGGTGCGTGTGAGCTCAGTGTGGAGTGAGTGTGGAGTGTGGGGTGAAAGTGAGCTCAGTGTGGGGTGAGTGTGGGTGAGTGTGGGGTGAGTGTGGGGTGAGTGTGAGCTCAGTGTGGGGTGAGTGTGGTGTGAGTGTGAGCTGAGTGTGAGCTGAGTGTGAGGTGAGTGTGAGTGCGAGGTGAGTGCGGGGTGAGTGTGTGGGTGAGTGTGTGGGTGAGTGAGGGGTGAGTGGGGAGTGAGTGTGAGTGCGAGGTGAGTGCGAGGTGAGTGCGGGGTGAGTGTGTGGGTGAGTGTATGGGTGAGTGTGGGGTGAATGTGTGGGTGAGTGTGTGGGTGAGTGTGTGGGTGAGTGTGTGGGTGAGTGTGGAGTGAGTGTGAGGTGAGCGTGAGGTGAGCGGGGGGTGAGTGGGAGGCGAGTGTGAGGTGAGTGAGGGGTGAGCGTGGGGTGAGTGAGGGGTGAGCGTGGGGTGAGCGTGGGGTGAGCGTGGGGGTGAGTGTGGGGTGAGTGCGGGGTGAGTGCGGGGTGAGTGCGGGGTGAGTGGGGGTGAGTGCGGGGTGAGTGGAGGGTGAGTGCGGGGTGAGTGTGGGGTGAGTGCGTGGTGAGTGTGGGCTCAGTGTGGGTGAGTGGGGGGTGAGTGGGGGGTGAGTGTGGAGTGAGTGTGAGGTGAGTGTGAGTGTGGGGTGAGTGCGAGGTGTGTGGGTGAGTGTATGGGTGAGTGAATGTGTGGGTGAGTGTGTGGGTGAGTGTGTGGGTGAGTGTGTGGGTGAGTGTGTGGGTGGGTGTGTGGGTGGGTGTGGGGTGAGTGAGGGGTGAGTGGGGGGTGAGTGTGGGGTGAGGTGAGTGGGGGGTGAGTGGGGGATGAGGTGAGTGGGGGGTGAGTGGGGGGTGAGTGTGGGGTGAGTGTGGGGTGAGCGTGGGCTGAGCGTGGGGGTGAGTGTGGGGTGAGTGTGGGATGAGTGCGTGGTGAGTGGAGGGTGAGTGTGGGGTTAGTGAGGGGTGAGTGGAGGGTGAGTAGAGGGTGAGTGGGGGGTGAGTGGGGGGTGAGTGCGGGGTGAGTGCGGGGTGAGTGTGTGGGTGAGTGTGTGGGTGAGTGTGTGGGTGAGTGTGTGGGTGAGTGAGGGGTGAGTGGGGGGTGAGTGTGAGTGCGAGGTGAGTGCGAGGTGAGTGCGGGGTGAGTGTGTGGGTGAGTGTATGGGTGAGTGTGGGGTGAATGTGTGGGTGAGTGTGTGGGTGGGTGTGTGGGTGGGTGTGGGGTGAGTGAGGGGTGAGTGGGGGGTGAGTGTGGGGTGAGGTGAGTGGGGGGTGAGTGGGGGATGAGGTGAGTGGGGGGTGAGTGGGGGGTGAGTGTGTGGGTGAGTGTGGGGTGAGCGTGGGCTGAGCGTGGGGGTGAGTGTGGGGTGAGTGTGGGATGAGTGCGTGGTGAGTGGAGGGTGAGTGTGGGGTTAGTGAGGGGTGAGTGGAGGGTGAGTAGAGGGTGAGTGGGGGGTGAGTGGGGGGTGAGTGCGGGGTGAGTGCGGGGTGAGTGTGTGGGTGAGTGTGTGGGTGAGTGTGTGGGTGAGTGTGTGGGTGAGTGAGGGGTGAGTGGGGGTGAGTGTGAGTGCGAGGTGAGTGCGAGGTGAGTGCGGGGTGAGTGTGTGGGTGAGTGTATGGGTGAGTGTGGGGTGAATGTGTGGGTGAGTGTGTGGGTGGGTGTGTGGGTGGGTGTGGGGTGAGTGAGGGGTGAGTGGGGGGTGAGTGTGGGGTGAGGTGAGTGGGGGGTGAGTGGGGGATGAGGTGAGTGGGGGGTGAGTGGGGGGTGAGTGTGGGGTGAGTGTGGGGTGAGCGTGGGCTGAGCGTGGGGGTGAGTGTGGGGTGAGTGTGGGATGAGTGCGTGGTGAGTGGAGGGTGAGTGTGGGGTTAGTGAGGGGTGAGTGGAGGGTGAGTAGAGGGTGAGTGGGGGGTGAGTGGGGGGTGAGTGCGGGGTGAGTGCGGGGTGAGTGTGTGGGTGAGTGTGTGGGTGAGTGTGTGGGTGAGTGTGTGGGTGAGTGAGGGGTGAGTGGGGGGTGAGTGTGAGTGCGGGGTGAGTGTGTGGGTGAGTGTATGGGTGAGTGTGGGGTGAATGTGTGGGTGAGTGTGTGGGTGAGTGTGTGGGTGAGTTTGGAGTGAGTGTGAGGTGAGCGTGAGGTGAGCGGGGGGTGAGTGGGAGGTGAGTGTGAGGTGAGTGAGGGGTGAGCGTGGGGTGAGTGTGGGGTGAGTGTGGGGTGAGTGCGGGGTGAGTGCGGGTGAGTGGGGGGTGAGTGCGGGGTGAGTGGAGGGTGAGTGCGGGGTGAGTGCGGGGCGAGTGCGTGGTGAGTGTGGGCTCAGTGTGGGTGAGTGGGGGGTGAGTGGGGGGTGAGTGTGGAGTGAGTGTGAGGTGAGTGTGAGGGTGGGGTGAGTGCGAGGTGAGTGTGTGGGTGAGTGTATGGGTGAGTGTATGGGTGAATGTGTGGGTGAGTGTGTGAGTGAGTGTGTGGGTGAGTGTGTGGGTGGGTGTGTGGGTGGGTGTGGGGTGAGTGAGGGGTGAGTGGGGGGTGAGTGTGGGGTGAGGTGAGTGGGGGTGAGTGGGGGGTGAGGTGAGTGGGGGGTGAGTGTGGGGTGAGTGTGGGGTGAGTGTGGGGTGAGTGTGAGGTGAGCGTGGGGTGAGCGTGGGGTGAGCGTGGGGGTGAGTGTGGGCTGAGTGTGGGGTGAGTGTGGGGTGAGTGTGGGGTGAGTGTAGGGTGAGTGCGTGGTGAGTGTGAGCTCAGTGTGGGTGAGTGGGGGGTGAGTGTGGAATGAGTGTGAGGTGAGTGTGGGGTGAGTGTGAGGTGAGCGAGGGGTGAGTGGTGAGTGCGGGGTGAGTGCGGGGTGAGTGTGGGATGAGTGTGAGGTGAGCGAGGGGTGAGCGAGGGGTGAGCGAGTGGTGAGCGTGGGGTGAGTGCGGGGTGAGTGTGAGGTGAGCGAGGGGTGAGTGGTGAGTGTGGGGTGAGTGTGGGGTGAGTGCGGGGTGAGTTCGGGGTGAGTGTGAGGTGAACGAGGGGTGAGCGAGGGGTGAGTGAGTGGTGAGCGCGGGGTGAGCGAGTGGTGAGTGTGAGGTGAGTGAGTGGTGAGTGAGTGGTGAGTGCGGGGTGAGTGCGGGGTGAGTGTGAGGTGAGTGTGAGGTGAGCGAGGGGTGAGTGAGTGGTGAGTGTGGGGTGAGTGTGAGGTGAGCGAGTGGTGAGTGAGTGGTGAGTGCGGGGTGAGTGTGGGGTGAGTGTGAAGTGAGTGAGTGGTGAGTGAGTGGTGAGTGCGGGGTGAGTGCGGGGTGAGTGTGAGGTGAGTGTGAGGTGAGCGAGGGGTGAGTGGTGAGTGTGGGGTGAGTGTGAGGTGAGCGAGGGGTGAGTGGTGAGTGCGGGGTGAGTGCGGGGTGAGTGTGGGATGAGTGTGAGGTGAGCGAGGGGTGAGCGAGGGGTGAGCGAGTGGTGAGCGTGGGGTGAGTGCGGGGTGAGTGTGAGGTGAGCGAGGGGTGAGTGGTGAGTGTGGGGTGAGTGTGGGGTGAGTGCGGGGTGAGTTCGGGGTGAGTGTGAGGTGAACGAGGGGTGAGCGAGGGGTGAGTGAGTGGTGAGCGAGTGGTGAGTGTGAGTGTGAGGTGAGTGGTGAGTGAGTGGTGAGTGCGGGGTGAGTGCGGGGTGAGTGTGAGGTGAGTGTGAGGTGAGCGAGGGGTGAGTGAGTGGTGAGTGTGGGGTGAGTGTGAGGTGAGCGAGTGGTGAGTGAGTGGTGAGTGCGGGGTGAGTGTGGGGTGAGTGTGAAGTGAGTGAGTGGTGAGTGAGTGGTGAGTGCGGGGTGAGTGCGGGGTGAGTGCGGGGTGAGTGTGAGGTGAGTGTGAGGTGAGCGAGGGGTGAGTGGTGAGTGTGGGGTGAGTGTGAGGTGAGCGAGGGGTGAGTGGTGAGTGCGGGGTGAGTGCGGGGTGAGTGTGGGATGAGTGTGAGGTGAGCGAGGGGTGAGCGAGGGGTGAGCGAGTGGTGAGCGTGGGGTGAGTGCGGGGTGAGTGTGAGGTGAGCGAGGGGTGAGTGGTGAGTGTGGGGTGAGTGTGGGGTGAGTTCGGGGTGAGTGTGAGGTGAACGAGGGGTGAGCGAGGGGTGAGTGAGTGGTGAGCGCGGGGTGAGCGAGTGGTGAGTGTGAGGTGAGTGGTGAGTGAGTGGTGAGTGCGGGGTGAGTGCGGGGTGAGTGTGAGGTGAGTGTGAGGTGAGCGAGGGGTGAGTGCGGGGTGAGTGCGGGGTGAGTGTGAGGTGAGCGAGTGGTGAGTGTGGGGTGAGTGCGGGGTGAGTGCGGAGTGTTTTGGGCTCGGTGTGGTCTCCCACCGCCGCTTTCGAGTCCTCCCAGCTCCGCGCTCATCTCCTTGCGCTTGCCCATGGCGACCTCACCAGAGCGCTGGGTCACCAGGTCACGGGGTCACACGGGGTCACACGGGGTCACCAGGTCAAGGGGCCGCGGAGTCGCGGGTCACCTGGACAGCCTCGCTCCCTCCGCTCTCTCCGCCGCCGCACACAAACCACGTGACGGGAAGCGGACGTGACGTACGAGTCCACACAGCCGCCATGACGTCATTAAAATGCGACCGCGGCGTGACCGGCCTGCGACAGAGACGGCTCCCGCGGTGTGACGTCACGCGTCGTGTGACGTCACGCGTCGTGTGACGTCATCGGGCGCGTGACGTCACGCGTCGTGTGACGTCACCGTGGATCGGCATGACAGTGAGGATGCGTCCCTTGGCAATACGACTGTTTGTGAAGTGCAGCACCAGGTTGTTACAAGAGCCCTCGACTCCCTTTGTTAGCAACGAGTGGTGGCCTGTACCTCTTCACAGGCCCTGCTCGTCAGTAATTGCATGACATTAAACTCATAATCCTGCTAAATCGATAAAAGCTAAATGAAAGTTATGGGTCCGATTCCGAGTTTCACCCACCCATGAATACAGAGTTGGCAAGTGAAGCGAATTGATGGTCCCATCACCAAATAATAAATGATGAAGAAATATACAAAGTTAGGTTTTCGCTGTGCTGGCGGGGTGTTGGGATGTGATGGCACCACCACCCCCAGGCGTCTCTCCTTGCATCATCCACGACCACCCTCTCAATAATCCAAACTCGCCGTCTAATTTAACAAACTGCACCTCCATTGATAATTGTTTTTTTACCCTTTTATCTGGCAACAAAACTGACACCTTTTTTTGTTGCCAGATAAAAGGGTAAAAACACAATTATCATTTTGCTACTGGCAAATGAGGTTCCAATGGTGTAAATGCTTTACCCGAGCTCTCATACTCTGATGGTGCATTGTCTTTGAGTTGTGCGCCTTTTGGCGTCATCTGGTCCAACACCATGTGAGACTAGGCTCTAGGAAAGCTGTCTCGGGTGTGGACCAATAAATTTCAAGGGCAGTGCATACATTATCAGAGTTATGTTTTTTGTTTGCATTATGACTGTAGGTATTGTGGTCTATGCAAACATGACTCCTCGTAAAAAAAGGTGTCAGTTTTGTTGCCAGATAAAAGGGTAAAAACCCAATGATCATATTTTGCTACTGGCAAATGAGGTTCCAATGGTGCACCTCCATTATCAACCAATCCTCCCTTCATGTCTTCATTGGTGATTATTACATCCATCTGATGAATCTGCACTATCTGGACTATGGATTGCAATCGATGTCTCTTCTTTACTTAAAGCTTTCGTGACTGCAGGAAGTCACATTCCTTGGGTCTTTCAGTAAAGTCACGTAGATAGGCTCAAATTAATAAAAATAAAATAAACAAAAAACGACATTTCGATTGCAAAACAAGCGGTCGTCATCAGGCGGAGAGAAAAAGGGGTAAAGTCTCTAACTGCAACTGCTTATAAAGATTTAAAATGGGCGTTGCCCAAGTTGGGCTTCGCCTATTTTAAACCTTTTTGTTTATTTTATTTTTATTTGAACCTATCTACGTGACTTTACCAAAAGACCAAAAGAATATGATTTGTCTCTCAATATTTCCCCTTCCCCCTGCTTTCAGCACTTTATACAGGCTGGAACGGCAGGGGAAAACATCCAGTCTCAAATGTCACCATCTGATCTGTAAGGTCCACGTAAAATCCTAAGCCGGCTCTCACATTAACTGCAACAAGTGAAAATCTTTGAGCGGGTTTGTTTTAGGAGGGATGGATTTGTTCTCAGTGTCAAGGATAGACCTCTCCAAACCTATTTTTTTACTTTACCAGGTAATGCCCACTGAGCTATTTAGCTCTTTTTCAGAAGCGACCTGGCCACAAATTATGGCTCAACCAAGTGGCTTATCATGTGGACATTTATAGCAGCCAAATACTCTAAACGCATGTTTCTACATGTGGAGGGAATCACCGGAGGACCCGAGGAAAAATCCACACGGCCACGGGGAGAACATGCAAACTCCAAATATACAGGCGTCATGGTCGGGATCGAACGCGCGACCTCCTGCATACCAGGCGAGGTAGTTAACATCTCGCCACCGTGGCACCCCAGTCAGGAAGCCAGCTCATGCCAATTCCAGATCATTCCCTGTGGTTGGCCCTACTGTGGGAAGGAGTTCCTCTGAGGACCTCTTCACCGAGTCTTCATCCCAATAGCAAAACCCATCGGGCAGCTCTGCAGCACAACCATGAAACCCTATGCAGCAGCAGCACAAGCAGGATTGAATAGTGAAACATACAAACGTATAAAATGCAGCCTTAGGAAACAATATGACTTAAGGGAACAGACAATGTACTTTAATAAATGGATATTCAGTTTTACTGGGTTGCACAAGTATGAAATTTAATACAGTACTACAAGTGAACAGAGGTGAGCATAATAAAAAGGAATTAAGATGTAGAAAATAACATCGACAGCTCATGGCACCAATTTCAGTGCCACATTGTGCGGAAAACCTTACAACAGCCTGGAGAGCCTCCATGGGACTTTCCCGCATTCCCATGTCCCAATCAATGTTAATAACACACTTTGTTACACATGCAAAACTAGTTTATACCATTAAGAGATCCCTGTAAGCTGACATTTTAATAGAAACGTATATTTGTTAACACATGTGTAGTGACTGTGATTGTCACTGTGTGGTGCCGGGCTTACCAAGCCACAGCAAATAATGTGTTGGAATTATGTGTAAGCCCGCTTACTGGGCATCGTACCACCAGCCCTAGCGGGGCTTGGGTGAGCGCTGGTTAGCACAGAGGCACCACGCACAGTGTGCGGTGCGGGCTCCCAGTGAGGGAGTCAGCCAGGCAGGGTTACGTTGGGGAATGATACGCTGGTTGACCTGCCGACACGCGACCGGATGATATTGGAGGGGGGCCACCGGTGGACGGGAGCCGCTGGGCGGTCACGTGGTCTAAGAGCTCTCGAGAGCCTTCGGGAAAGAGCTCGAGAGATCTAGAAGGTGGGCGGGGCGAGGGGCGGAGCCGGCCCCAGCCCAGGCCGACATCACGGGGGCCCCGTGAGGGGCTCGGGGTTCTTCATGTTGCTGGTGATGAAGATCTACGTCGGGTTGAAGAAGCCTCGAGCCACGCTGTCCGGGACCCAGCTCGTGGTCCGGGCCGAGATAGCGAACCGTGTCTAGTTCTGCCAAAGCGTGGCTAGATGGGCATTCAACACCCGAGTGTAGGTTGTGTTATGTTGAGTTGGTGAAATAAAGTGTTGCTCCCAAGACAATGTCTGCGACTCAGTTGGACGCACTACACATGTGTTCTCACTACACATGTACTGCATAAAATAGAAACTGACCTCATCTGCAAGTCCTCCTGTCTGTAGCAGCAAGGAAAATCGCAAATGTGTTCTTCGTGGAACACAATGATTTGCCGAGAATAAAATCTTCTTTATGATATGGTTATGGTGGCAGTGAAGTGTCTAAGCGCAGGGCAGGGTAACCCTGTGTTACGCAATGAGGAGTCTCAACTCTCCCTGGTGCGATGCTAAAAAAAAAATACATTTCACTTCAGCGATCGCCTCTGGCTCATAATATAGCACCCTGAGATGATCACCTGCAGGCTGGACCAATAAAACAAGACGTCTGTCTAATCAGCGACTACTCCAGGACACGGGGCTCAGATACCTGTACCATAGAGGGTGCAATAAAGTGCTGCATTTTGAGAATGTCACAATTTCCCTTTGGTCAGTCGTGTCTGTCAGATTCTCTGCTGGGTGGAAGAGGCCAAGTGCGTATTCACCGGCTTCTCACAGTCGAAGGTGGGGGCAAGGGAGCTTGGGGTACCGTGCCAGGGGTGGATGCTGCCATGCGCTGTCTAGGATGTGTTCTTCCACACCTCACATGGCCTTGGTCGTGCGTATCGAGCAATACGATGCAAACGTCAAATTCAACTCCTGGATACAAGTTGTGCTATTGGGATTGACCAGGAATTGACTAGTGTAATCCAACATGAATCTGAATGTGCTCCAACATTCATAATCCAAACCCAAATATAGTCGAATCTATACTCAAAGCTTTGATTAGTCGTCACATTTTGCAGTAAATATTAGTATACATATGTACACGTAAACACTCTTACATTAAGCCTACACAACATTCATACATAGAGAGCGCGCGTGTGAACGCGAGCAGCATCATAAATGCCACCGGTGCAGCCCGGGGTGCCTCAAGCCTCCGGCACACTCACCCTCGGCTTTCGCAGGTTCAGGTGTCAACACGCAGGTTATTTCTATTTAACACGTGGGATATGATGGCAGTGGCTTCGTCAGAGCTGTGTCCACCACCAGACGGTAACTTTGAATTAATTGAAATTCCCAGGAGAGCCAGTCCTGATGACGGCCTGTGCAAGTAAACCGCGTTCACGCGATAGCCGGGGCGGTGGGTTACCGGCCAAACTGGAGTTCCGGAGTGCACGGCGCGTGGGAGGGAGAAAGACCTGTGGCACAGGCCTAGTCCGGCCTGGATGCACTCCCAGACTCCTCTCGTCCGTGCCATCGCCCTTTCCCGCACCTCCGATTCGAACGGTTGGCTACGTACAGCGCCTTGCTCTCTACGTTTACCTAATGTATTTTATGGGGCGCCATGGTGGCGAGATGTTAACTCTCTCGCCTGGTATGCAGGAGGTTGTGGGTTTGATACCGACCCTGACGACTGTATATTTGAAGTTTGCGTGTTTTTCTCCAGGTCCTCTGGTTTTTCCCTCCACATTGAGAAACACGCATTTACAGTATTTGGCTGCTATAAATTTCCACATAAACCACTTCGTTGACTTATCATTTGTGGCCAGGTCGCATCTGAAGACAGATAGCTCAGTGCACCTTACCTGATAAAAGAAAGTTTTTTTAGTATTTAAAGAAATTCTCATTTAAATAAAACTGTTAAATATTTTCCAAATAGCTGCCATATCTATTTCCACCCCGACTTGCTTGAGTTTTTTTGTATTATTTAAAGAAAGATCCCAGATTTTTTTTATGCCATCTAAGAACTCTGCAGGAGGTCGGCCTCGAATTCTTGTTAGCAAAAATGCAAGTTCCACAATAAAAAAATTCAAATCTGCAGCAAATAGCGGCGATTTGACCATTTGTCAAGCAAGGATTGTCCAGACCACCCTTCCACTGACCGCTCGACGCGGGTGACATGTGCTGAGCTGGCTCTGCTCATCAGCGCGATGCCTCGGTCGACAGGAGGAAGCCAAGCTCCCAAGGAGGGCACCAGCACCTGCCCCACCCAGGCTGACCCAGCACACGCCCAGGGCGCGAGACGCTCGCGTCTTTGTCCCTGCACCCCAACCGTACATGAGCGCAGCTGCAGTGACTCTGCAGCAGCAGCAGCAGCTGCTGTGACTCCACACTAGCTGCTGTCCGAGCTGCACTTGCTCCAACTCTGGACCCAATCACAAGCGGCCCCAGCCTTGGTGTCGGCTTGACCGTGTTAGAACTCCACAAATGACGAGAGAAACGCTGCAGCAGCAGCTGATGAATCTACACACATGCTGATTGGAGTAGGGTGACTTAGGATAAAGTCCATAGCTTGAGGAAATTTCTTAAGTACTCTACAGTCGACATTCAGATACTACAAGTGCCTTCATGGCAGCATAAATAGCAATAACGAGGGTGGGCAGCGGGAGGGGAGGAGATTGTGCGGCTGAGCAAGTGAAACAGGACGGAAATGTTTGAGTTCATGGAGAGGGTGGAGTGGAGCTGGGAGTGGAGCTGGAAGTGGGCCTGGGGGGTAGACCTGGGGGTGGAGTGAGTGTGTGGCGCTGCATGGAGAGAAGTCGCAGTTGATGTGATGAGTCCGAGTAAAGCTGGGGTTGAACTCGGGCCAGGTGACTACGATCCGTTCTGCTCCACCTTGTGTGTGGGTTTGGCCTGAATAATGAGAGGAAAGGGACAGGGTGGCTCAACACGAGGAGGGGTCACAGGGGTCACGAGGGCACGTCTTCACCGCGTGGGCCTCTCTGGGCCAGCCCGTCCCAGCCCCGTGTTTCGCAATGTTCATTTCTCTCATTCGCATTTCACCGACATCAACGGTATCGCATCAGGAAGCAAAGACATTTTTGTTCTGCAGGTCGCCCAGGAGATGGCGCAAGCAGGCTGGAGAGGTCAACCCCGCAGATGCTACGCAGCTCGCACTGCCCCCAGCTGCTCCCATTGTGACCCGGCCCCCAAAAATCAGGGTGAAGATGCCCTCCTCACTCCCACAACAAGATAGGCCCTCGGCTCCACACGACCATGGAAACCTGCTGAGGTGCTGTGCAGGGCGTGTCGATGCCCTCCGTCTGGCCTACCTGCTGTGGCACCTCCACATCCCCTTTTTCTGCGTCCGGTTGCATCGTCTGGAGCGCAGAGCACGGGCTGCCCTTGCCCTGCGGATTGGCATCTTGTAGCTCCTCCTGACAAGACAAGCAAGCATACACACACACATCCCCCGTACTTTCATCTCTCCTTCTCCACGGAGCGTTGGATGTCATGCACATCAGCTGCCCGAGCCGTTCTCACCGCTCGCCATCGACTCGCCTGTCAACGCTGCCCACACCGTGGTGTGCAAAGGAGATCGCGTGCTCTTAGCTCTCTGCCCCCACTGGACATCTGTGAAAAAGAGCTTCATAGCTTATCGGATTCTTCCAGTCTCAATAAAGATTTTGATTCCGATTCTGCTCGGGGAGGAATCGTTTTGCGGCTGCGCCCCTCCCCCCCTCGCACAGCAGGTTCCCCGCACAGGGAACCACATGCTTGTGTGCTGCATGTTATCCCACTGAAGCTGATGTTGGGGGCTGCTCGGAGGGCGCTTCCTAGAGTAGTGTCGAAGCAGGAGCACTGGGTGCTTGAGCTGGCTCCTGCGAAGTGCTCTCCAGAAGAGAAACGTCCTCAGGGAGGAGATTTTCTCCCAACAGTTAGACCCTCGATGCGGCGTATGTGTGGTCAGCGTGAGCACATGCGATAATTTATTGGCATGCGCCAAAGTATACAGAACTTGCGGCCAAATAAACTGTCAAAAGATGCAACGCACGCTGTTAGAAATTCAGCCGAACCCACTATGTTGAAACATCTGTAAATAAAAACACTTTGTGGAGGATCGTTCAGATTTCTCTGTTTGTGGCACGAAGATGTAAAAAGGATAATCTCCTGGAGGAGTCACACACACTACAGCCAGGAGTGGAGATGCCCATTTGAGACCCATTAAGATTTCTCTGCAGCGGCCAGTGCCAGGGATCAGATCCAGTGACAATAGGCATGTGGGTGCCAATAAATGTAAGGGTAATGCAGCTGCCACACAGCAGATGTGCAACAGAGAGACATGCGGCAGAGCCATGCACAATAAATGCACAGCAGAGAAAAATGTGGTACACACTTTTGTGGCAGTAACTTACATGCAGAAAGGCATGCAAGCAGAAATGTACAGTGGAGAGGCATGGAGCAGACACGCTGCTGATGCACACTGCTCACTGTGATGAGGTGAGCGGGTGGTGGTGGGGGGGGGGGGGTTCCCTCACTGTGTGTAGGGTGACCGGGTCAGCCGGGTCGGCCGGGTCGGGTGGTGTGGCGCATGGGCTCGGCGACCCCTCCGGCCCGGGCTGGGAGGCTGACAGCATGGCCCCCTGGCCTCCCTGAATATGGAGCGCGATGAATAGCATGGACAGAGAGACAAGGGGAGAGAAATCAACAACAGTGACACACTCATTCAGTTATCTTGAGCTGATGGTCCGAATAAGGCTGAGAGCTTTTGTAATGTACACCTTTGTGTGTTGTTAAATCTAAGTGACGCACGCAAATACATAAACAAAGTGACATACTGTGATGCACAGTGTCACACAAAGGCATACAGTGGTAGCATCGCACATAGCGACAAGGAGAAGAACACAAAGGCAAAGATGCCCCTTACAGCCTTAACAGACTGTTGGTCAATTTAGGGCAAGTACTGTTAGCGGACACCTATGAAGGCCCGAACAACACACGAAGGGGTGGGTGGCCAACACCATGCCCGGTCACCTTTGTCTCCCTAGTGGCGATGTTTAGACATTGCACCAGGTATTGATTGTAAGCTGAGTCGACCTAGGGGAGGCCCAGGATCGGTTCAGATAATCGTCACTCGGGCCACCGGGTTCATAGCGCAGCGCGCTAACCGCTACACTCCCGCTCACCATTGAGTGTCTGTCACAGACAGACAGACACGCAGCGATGCAGTGAGACACAAGCAGTAACACAGTGACGGACACACACACAGCAACACCATGCAGATCAATGCAAATTGAGTCGATTAGTTGCTACTTCCAGATTATAGGGTGAATTTAGCTCTTCCAGGAGACTCCATCTGAGTGACTCATCTCCGTAAATAATTGGCTAAATTTATCACCACATGCAGATGGCTCCCATTATCCACGAATAAGAAGAAGCCATCTGTATGAAACAGGGCTTTCTGAGTATCGATTGGGGCTGATTATGAGCAGCAGATTCTGGGATCAGAGGAGCTTCACTGCACACACACACGGCAACACACGGGAACACGCATCGTCACGACAGGTGACAACAGTACATATGATTTCAACATTCACAGGCTAATGTCAAGTGGGTATCTTTAAGGCGATGAGTCAAAACTGGTGAAGACTTTCCGTGACCAGGACACACGAATATGTGACCTGATTGGAATTGGGCAGAGGCATGAACATCAACCAATATGCAGCCTATTACCAACCCAAACAGAAGAAAGCTCAAGGTCAATTTAGGGTAAATAATCCAAATCTGAGCATCATGTCTTGAATGTGGCTTTGCCACTGTATGCATTTCCAACAAGGCAACAGTAACAATGAAGAGTTAGCGTATTCATATTGGCTGTGATGAGATCATCTTACCTATTGTTGTATACTAACCCTTCTTCCAAAATTGAGATTAATAATATTTGATGATATTTTTATATATTATCTTTTTACTTGTTTTTTTAATGAATGAAACACACCAAAGCGCAGCAAACTGCAAAACACCAGGTGTTGTTAAGTAATGAACTGGAGGAGGGCTAGGATGGCAGAATTTGCAACCTTGCTTCAAGGAAAGATAAGGCCTGATGAACGGGCACATGTCACCCGTGCAGGCGGCAGAGACAGTGGGAGTGTCAGCCAGACATAGTTAAGGCAAAAAGCCCAACCATCCTGCATGGTTTTAAAGTAACGTCAAAATTCGAAATTCAACAACAGAGTAGGCTAAATTATCGATCCTCGCGCTCGCTCAAATTGGAGACCAGGCTGCGAGCTACATCAATGAACCATTGCCCATTTGCTAATCCAATACTGAATGTTAATATTACTGAAGTCAAAACGAATTCTATGACCTCAGCACATGGGCAAATAATAGGGCAGTGTCGACTCAAAGGCAATGGAAGAAAGCAGAGGCGCCTTTGTCTAAATCACAACCACAGAAAGCCAGGAATCATCACTGATTGTGTGTTTAGGGATTCCGAGCTAGTTGGAACACGTGCACACAGGGGGGAGGTAGAAGTACGCCTTGTCCTCCTGCAGCTGAGGGAGCAAAGATAAACCCAAAAAGGCCAAGGAATTAAATTATTAAATCCAGGGTGAGTGGTCAAATGAAGTGGGTCAGCTCAAGGCTGTGTGCACAGGGGAGGGAGCTGATTTAAACAACCCTGCACGTCTGAACGTGAGGGGGCCTTTGACCTGAAATTAAGAATAACACTCCCAGAGCAGAAGGTTGGATGGCCACAGTGAGACGAGAATAAGAGTGTTGTATATCTTTCAAGGATGCAGACCCAGCTGAACAACAAGGCTGCGGGGGTCACCAGAAGTTCGCGTTCGCCTAGTTAAGACAAAAAGCTCAATTATTCTGTATTGCTATTAAAGTAACGTTAAAGTCGGAATTTAACAACAGGGTAGGCTAAAGTTATTGATATTCACACCCACTCCAATTAAACCAGGCCACAAGTTACGCCTACTGAACCATCACCATCATTAAGTCAATATGAAATGTTATTTCCATACTTTAATACTTTCTATACAACTCGACCCGAAGCATATGACAATCAGAACCTTCCTAAGTCAAAATTGAATCGCACCCAGACAGGAGCGAATAGTCGATATAAGGTTGAAGAGGGAAGGAAATTAAGAGCACGGCGAACTGCAAACGTAAGCAAAAAGCCGGGAACGACACCAGCCCAGCAACAGCGAGTCGGGCTTCGACAGGCCATAAAAGTAGAAATAATAACTCCCGGGGTCAGGGGACACAAGAAGAAGCAGGCAGACAAAAACCAGAACTGACTCCAAGGTTCAACCGCCCTCACCTACAAGGAGTGACGGAAATTAATGAGGCCTTGAGTTAACGGCGTCAGCTGGACAGCAACAACAACGGCGAGCAGAGATAGGGTGGGGCAAAGACTGCGGGGCTATGGAATGCAACTTCGTGTCAGTAAAGCCCTGACAACCAAGTTAAGTTAAAGACATCACAATACATAATATCGTACATAACATCAATGTTAACGCTATTCACCGTAAACTATATTCCGCTTATATAACCATGCAGACACCAAGGAATACGAATTCCTAGGATCAAGAAACTTACCCCTTAACCTAAGATATCGGAAATAAATTAATAATAATAAGCATATGCATGAAAAGACAAAAGTAAAACTTATGGAAAAGCCAGGATAACGGGATGAATCACCACCAGGTCGAATATAAATACATAATAAAAAAAACGATGTTAAACCCAGGGTCGGAGAGAAAGGGAGATCCCGGCCGTCTTTGTATCCCCGCAGCGCGGGATAGGAGTGTGTATACGCTCGGGGAAACACCTCCACTTGAGTCAAGCACCACGATGGGAAACGACAGACCTTAGGTTAGATACAGAATCATAACTGTGAAATAGTAAGGGACAAATGTTAACTTAAAACTTTTTAACCATTTCTTTGTGCGCCGGGTCGGAGAGAGTGTTGCCCCTCCCTCCAGGTTGTGCAACACGAACAAAGACGCCTATGAGACGATTTGTAACGTCTGTGTTTTGGGTTCATGAAGAAGGCCAGACAAGAGATAATATTGCACCCAGACAGAGAGACGACTTCGAGGCAATTTGTAACATCTGATTGTTTGCTCGTGGGTTTTATGGAGGGAGTGTGACAACGGAATATACCGTGGGTGATGCACACAAGGACATACGGACGTACGGACACACACATGGACACACCTGCCTACGGACAGATCCTGACACAGCAAAAATCGAAAGAAGCCCCGCCTTGTGGGCGGGATCCAGGGGGATTTTTCGGCATAAAGGAAAGGATCCTGAGCATTGGAAACTAGTGCGACCAGCGGGTCGACTCAGGAGCAAGCTCGACCGGGAGGGTCGGCTCAGGAGCGAGCTGCGACCAGCGGGTCGGCTCGACTCATCTTCAGCTCGTCTGGGACTCAGCCGAGTTCGATCGGCTTACCAAAGCCGGCTCTCGGGGCTCGACTCAAGCGGCTCCCCATCTCCTCTGCAGGCGGGCAAGACCCGCTTGACAGCTCAACTCGGCCTGCGTGGGTCAACCTCTGCCGAGTCGGAGGTCTCTGCTGCCGCCGGAGTGGTGAGGGTCGCGGTTTGGCGACGAGGCTCCGTGCACACCCTGGTCGACGACCCAACACTGCACGCTGCGAGCGAGTTGTGGGCGCCACCTACCGACCGGGTTCCGAACTGCGACAGCGTATCAACGGGCATCCGAACCAGTTCACCACGGTGACAGGGGAGCGACTGATACGTATGACCGCACCGCCCCCTCACCACACGACCACCAGGCGTCTGTTTGACAAAGAATCGACTCCGAACACTGACTATTCAAGACAACTCTTACCACTCAAACACACTCGAACCCATAAGCCATCCGTGGCTGGGAAGGCATCACAACGAGACCGAGTGATGGCCATCCGTCGTATATAAGAGTATTCGTAATTTTTATCTTTAATATTTAGTGGGCTGTACTCTTAATCGCATAAATTCCCAACAGATCCATCAATACGAACTGATTCTTGGCACCTCCTTCCGCCGAGCCACGCTCACGTGGGGAGTGGTGGCCCACCGGATCCTTATCAGGTGATCTGGTCCCCAATTAGTAAACTTGGTATAAGATAACGATCTTCGGAAAAGGAGCACCGTCGCAGGCCCTTACTCCGAACCGTTCTGTTGTCAGATAACCTGCCGATGTATCTGTTGAGATTGGTGCCTTTAAGAATAATAACTGTTTTGATTGTGTTTTTTTTTTATCGCCGTATAATCTTTCAAGTATCTTTCAGTCATAATCGCCGCACGTACTCGCATCCTCTACAGAATATTCAACTGTCCCGTGACCCAAGGTGCTAACAACGTGATAAGGGTTGCGTATGATCAATAAGGAGTGCGGTACTGCGTGAACAATATTGAGTATAATCATTCATTAACGTTAAGGTTTTCTTAGCATAGTATTTGCATATTTTAACGACTCTCTCTCTCACTAACAACCATCGCGTTGTGCGGGATCCATGTGCCGTTGTCAAAGTGAAATCAGACAATCGTTGATGATACTGTATTGATGCCGTGTTGACGTTCCGGGATTGAGAGTTCGCATACTATATCATAGTTAAGGTTGAATTAGTAATAAATTGATCAATACAGAAGTGGTTGTGTGATTCTTTCCTGAAATCTATGCATAAGATCTGCTTCTGCGTTGAGATCTGAACTTGGTGACCTTAATAAACACACTAATACATACTCAGTAAATGTTAAAGCGATAACGGGGTGAACCGGGGACCTAAAATATAACCACGAATACACACTCTGGGAATGTTAAAGCGAGAATGAGACGAACCTAGACAACGATGCCGAGTTAATCTAAGTTAATCTTGCATACTTACACCACACCTGCATAACTGCATACGATTAATTGCCTTATTCCGATCGATAACCCACCCTCGTCACCGAGGCGGGGTCTGGTTATCATAACGGCATTATCATAATTACACCCACTCGCATAATTAATACGATTACCTCTCGAATTGGCATAATTAAAATGTGCATAATTACATAAATTAACATATTTCCGGATAATTACACATTTGGCCAAATTTCATTTAATTATTATTATTTTCACTGAATATTCATAACCCACATATACAACATAATAATTTCACCCACGCACGCATACAACATAACAAATTTTGATAACCAACATATACAACACTATAAACGTCATTTTTTGTCTGTCTGTCCGTCTGTTTGTCTGTCTCTGTGTGGACGCACACTTGTGAAGGATTTGGCTCGCAAACTGTGGGGTTTAAGATTTTAAAAAAGTAGCCAGGTACCACGCCGTAAGCCCCGTGGTGAGCCAGCGCTATTCCGTTTTCCCATCCGTCAACTTTAAAGTAGTTAAATAAGTATTTGTGCAACTTATTATTTAAATATTTCCTCGCGCCACTCAGCGAGCGACACAGCTGAGAAAACAGAACGTGGATTGCCAATTATGGCATCCCAATAGTGTCCAATGGGGAAATTGTGTTTATTAAGGACGCACACACGGTTGTGAGCGATCAACTCCAACACGGTATTGGGGAGAGCAGCACCCGCGCATATCACCCGCACCTGCTACCCCTACATTTCCCCCACGCAAGTCACCCCCGCAAGTCACCCCCACAAGTCACTCACGCAAGTCACCCGTACAAGTCACCCGTGCATGTCACCCGCGTATGTCATCTCGCTAGAGTCCGTGGGATAATGGCTCGAGCGAGCCAGCTCAAGAGTCTGGTAATTTACAGACGAGGAAGAGAGAGAGAGATAGAAGAAGTGGCACACTTGCACTTCAGGCGAGGTAAGAACCCTCCACTACCCGACACGGCCAAATAGTAAAAAATGTGTCACGTTTTCAAAAGACAAAATAATTCACTTCTTTAGCCCACTGGTGTGCTGAAGAGAATATCAACAGCATTTTAAATTTGGGAACGACGTTTCGCTGATAATTACAATCAGCTTCATCGGGCAAGAATGGTAAAGCTCTCCTGTTGCTTCCGGTCTTAAATAGAGCAGCCTCAGGGTGACGTCATCATTTAATTCAATTCAATCTGGTGCAGTGATTCGAGGCAAGGAGGGGGGGGGGTATTGTCATTATATAGATAATTGTTATTCATTGGTATTTGTTTCCCTTATGAGGAATTGTAATTGTATTTATTTGATAATACGCTTCCAGGCCGCACTAAGCCTGTAGTTGTCAGAGCGATTGAAGTTATTTCTGTTTCTCTAAATTTCAATGGATTGACCCAAAAACCTATATTATGAATAATATTGGTCGCGAAAGCCTACGTGTTAAATCACCTCTTGTAAGATTAAATGACCAGAACGGCACTTTACTTGGAAAACAGAAAAAGCAATAGAAAAGTTTTTCATTCCAAGGGATTAACCCTCGAGTCAAGTCGTTTACTTGCAACCCTGTAAGGATGGAGGGTGGAAGAGTTACGCCTTAGTGAACACAGATTCCGCAGTACCGATAGGACTGCTCCTGCCGCTCGCTGCACATGAGATGAGTCGGAATGAGCACGACCTCTGCAGAGCTGAGACAGCCGCGTCGCCAGCAGCTCTGCTTGCTGCTTGCCAGTGCTGGCTACCGCCTGCTGATGTTCATCGTCATTGTGGCTGCTGGCGCTTTGTGCCTCTACGACTGCAGGCACCCCCCACTGAGTGAGCTGGTATTGGTCTCTCGCCCGCCATCCACCTGTCCCGCTACGCTTCTGAGTGTGACGAGTATCTCCACTGTCACTCACCCGAGATTATATGGTGCCATGATTCTTGTACTCAATCAAAAGTGCCATCTACATTTAACGTTTTGGAGTTGCAAACCATCATCGAGACATCACCCTGAGAAGGGATGCTAGTTAAGAGGCACCGGGGTGGCGATATGTTAAAAACTTTGCCTGGTAGACAGGAGGTCGAGGGTTCAACCGCAACCCTGACACCTGCTGTATATTTGGAGTTTGCATGTTCTCCCCGCAGTAGCATGGATTTTTCTCTGAATCCTCTGGTTGTTCCCACCACATTTAGAAACATGCGTTGAGAGTATTTGCTGCTGCTATAAATTTCCACATGATAAGCAACTTTGTTGAGCTATCATTTGCGATAGCCAGGTCGTTTCTGAAAAATAACTATATCAATAAAATTGTTAAAGTAAACGACAATTCACATTGAGTTCTGATGCAATATTTATGCATTGAACATAACGCCACTCTATAGATGGGAGTGCTCTTGCCAACATCTGGCAAGCCAGCTATGTGCTTAGCAATCCTGACTCTAATTCCACCTCATGATGGATTAACGAGTGCTGTGTTTATGAGGAGAGACTTAACGGAGGTGCGGTTCGTTTACTTTACCTCGTGGCACAGCCGACAACGGGCCATGCAGCACGTCGACCCTTCCCCTCACTCTCTACCACCGTCATCCCTTTCCAGGTATGACCAGATCCATTCTGCTCCCAATTTCTCATCCAATCCGACAATGTAGTAGCAGTCATAGTAGTGTTGCTAATGATGTAACCTCACACTTCCCTGCAACTCAAATTCCAATCTCCTCACATTCCCCAACTTTCTCTTTGGCCATACCTCTCTTTTCACTAAAAATGAATCCCTCCAAATACCTCTCCTGTCTCGAGTTACCATGAAAAATGGCCCAGCCCTCGTTTCAATCCGATACTAATCCCTTGCATTGATCCATTGTCTTTTCTTGTACCCCCTCCTGTTTGCCAATCTCAGGACTTTAATCCAAGCATTTCGAGAGAAGGACTCTCATTCCACTGTGTGTGCCATGCACGGCCAACTTGGTGATTATCTGAGTCACTAAGCTGTTCATACCGACACCGTTCCCAGTCTCTCTCCGCACAGACTTTTTGAATGCAGCCTGTTAAAAAAATAATATCGGTGACCAACAGAGCTAGGCTGAGGCCTGGCAAAGAGTCAAATGGCATTAAGATTCCAGCGCTCACCGCAATGCCAGGGATGGGGGTGGCGGCAGGCGCGATGCCCCAGGGCAGCTCACTTGGCGTGTCTGGCAGGTACATGGCGCGTGACAAGAGCAGCAGAGAAGATGGGATCTGATCGTTGAGGTGCAGCTCCAGCCACTACACACAGGATGCATCACAGCAGCGAAACCATCACCAACGACATCGTCATTAGGACCATCCATCAGTTATGGTAGCATGGCCTTCACAAACAACTCCATCATCGCCATCATCGCTATCAATAGCATCACAGCACCACCAGCATAATTGACAATAACATCAGCATGCTGCCAACAACATTATAACGAACTTATTTACCATTTTATCATTGTAAATATCAACCCGCAGCACCATCACCATAATTAACACAACTATCATCCCCATCATTACAGCGTCGTCACCATCATTCTCATCAGTAGCATCACTGTCATTAATTTTTATTAACTTCACAATCAATCTTCGTACAGAACGACCACTGGTGACTTCCCACAAAGTTATCCTTATATGTTTTCGACCCTTCGAGATAGTGAGAGGGAACATTTATTCAGCCAGCGAGGCCATGCAAAGCTGCGGACAGCAGCCACCTGTACGCTCGTGGGAAATACCACCACCACCACCACAGAAGCCCCACGCACATTACTGGGCAAAGGTCCAGATATCTCAGGACATTGAAGACGGTAGCAATGGGTCATGTGACAGGGCTGCTGTGTGATGTAATGCAGCCCTGGAGGAGTTTCAAGTTTATTTTGTTTAACCAACTCTAAGAACTCAAGAGACCAGGATAGGAGTCTAATTTGCAGGAGTGACCCTGGGGCATTCGTCTTCAGTAGGGGGTGATGATTGCTGTGTGTATAATCCCAATTGAGTAATTTGCGGTGAAATTTTCAAAGATGGTAAATTTGCACCCCGACGCCGGCCCACGACAGCCTACTCTTGCGAATGATATCACGGGATCTCTAACGTCCACTGTGAAGCAGATGGCATGTAAATCTATCATAGTTAAAACACCCGCAGCAGCAGTATTAATCAGGGAGGCCGCTAGATTGGAACCATGAACCTCTGCAAGAAGCGGCGACCCCGCGCGGTGCCACTGGGCCGCGTCACCACTCGTTGCGGGTTTTTTTTCCAGATTTTTGGGTGTGGGCACCTCACACTCTATCCGAAAGAGAATATTTATGTAGTGGAGTAACGCGCGCGGGGATTTGCAACCGGTGTGCACGCATGTGCGAGGTACAAACAGTGAGGTCGCATGGGGCGAACGTGTGTGGCGAGAGAGAGCAACGGAAAGGAAACGGCCAATTAAGATGCATAGCGGTGATTGGCTGGCTGCAAATGCAGGCGCGGAACAGGCGCCAGGTTGACGGGAGTTGAGGCGATAGCGGTGGAAGCCACGGGCTTGAGGCGATTGGAGGTCGCCGGCTGAATTAATGAGGCGTTAATAAGGAGGGGGATATAAACGGGAGCATGGGAGAGAGGTAGGGGAGTTGGTCGGAGTGAAGACAAGAGGAAAGACAAGAGAAGTCCAATGGCCCGCTCTCCACACCTCGCCCTCTCCAGCGGTGATGGCTTATACCCCCCACTGGAGGCAAGGGCGAGGTTAGAGAGGTGAGGGTAGAAAGGCTAGCAGTAGAGAAGCTAGCGGAATCCTAAGTGTGAGAAGGCTAGCAGTAGAGAAGCTAGCAGAGAGTATAGCGGAAGGCTAGCAGTGGAGAAGCTAGCAGAGTATATAGCGGAAGGCTAGCAGTAGAGAAGCTAGCAGAGAGTATAGCGGAAGGCTAGCAGTAGAGAAGCTAGCAGAGTATATAGCGGAAAGCTAGCAGTGGAGAAGCTAGCAGAAGATATCGTGAGAGGCTAGCAGTGGAGAAGCTACCCGAGTGTATAGTAATAGGTAGGCTAGCAGTGGAGAGGCTAGCAGAGTGTACGGTGGGAAGCTATCAGAGAGTGTAGTGGTAGGCCAGCAGCGGAGCGAGCCAAGGGAAGGATGTCATTCCTGACATGCAATATCCTGGAGTTTACAAACTGAGGGAGAAATCCCATGAGCTATAAAGCTCTTTCTCACAGATGTCCACGTTGAAAGTCCTAGTGCCAGCCACTTACAGAAAACGTTGATTACAGGGTATTGATGATAGCGATGATAACAATGATTATATGGACACTACTGTTGATGGTGAAGGAGGCGTTGACGGAGGCACCTGCTTGAGCTGTTCCCGTAGTCTCTGCTCGGTGACGCCCAGGGCCCTCATGCCGCGCGTGCGGCACGCGGCCTGGAGCTCGGCCACAGTCATGGTCTCCACTCCCTCCTGCGCGATCATCTACACTCAGCAATCACCACCAACAACCGCCAACAGTACAACCACATCTACACGTACCAACAACTACCAACAACCGCCAAAACATCTACACACACCAACAACCAACAATAATACCACCACCACATCCCCACACACCAACAACTATAACAAAAAACACCAATACTACCATCCCATCTACACACACCAACAACCACCAACACTACCATCGCAGTGATGGTGGTGGTAGTGATGGTGGTGGTAGTGATGGTGGTGATTGTGGTGATGATGTTGACATATACAAAGACAAGAGACAAATATCCCCTATATAGCCTTAACAGACTGCTTGGGCAAGGGCTGTTAGTGAGCACCTATGAAGGCTGGCACAGCACACGAGGGGGTGGGTGGCCAGTACCACGCCCACCCACACGCAACAACAACCACTATTCGCCCGTAAGTGGCGGTAACGTGACCATGGCGATTGTGCCAGGCTATGTACACTTTAAGGCCACGTGAAGGGTCACCTACACTCTCAGACACCTACACACACATATACATAGTATGTGGTCGTGAGTCTAACTCGCTCACTGATTGGATGAATGTTTTACGGGGAATACACCTCATTGCAAAACTTAAGCCCGGGCTCAACAAGGTGCAAAGTGTGCATCCGCATCGCGAGGAACTGCATGGTGCAATTGGTAGCGATACAATCGCGAGTCTTTGATAGGATGGGATCGCACCCAATAAATCGCACCAACTCACATGCGACATCTAGGGCTTCGGAAAAAGGAGCTCTATGACACCCTCCACGCAACTACACTGCAGAGAACACGAGCTACGTCACACGGAGGGGTCCAACATATGTATCAACACGTTGTTGCAAGACGGTCACTGCATTGCACGCTTTCAGATGCACTTCTGCGGCCGTCTGGAACGCTTTCCTTCCGATATTATGAAGCCACTGGAGCTATGCACTTTTAAATCATCAAGATTGAAAACTCATTTCTTTCGAGCTGCTTTTTGTGTTTGGTTAGTTGTCCTTCCCCCGCACCTCCGATTATCAGTTGGCTACGTACGGTGAGAAAGAAGTTCAACATACATCCAGGAACTCTGCTAGCAGGAGCCTGTTCAAAACAGCCTCAGCCTTTCTGCATGGTAGTGGCCAGTACCGTAGGAAAAACAACAACAACCACCACCAACGGAGCTGCTGCTGCTGTGGCTGCTGTACCCTGTCGTCAGCCTTGACCGCGCGCAGCTTCATTCGCAGCTCGAAGCGCAGGAAGTTGTTGGTGCCCATCGGCCTGAGCTCGAGGAGGCGGCAGAGCGCGGCGAGCTGGGGCCGCGTCAGGCTGTCCAGCGTCAGCTCGTCCTCAAAGAGCTGTGAGAAGTGAACCAACTCCGCGTTGCTGGGGCGCGCACCCGTGCTACGCACCTGGCAGCACGAGAACAGGCCGGTACGCACACACACAAACCCATTAACACACATGCATCTGCCATAAAGGCAAACGATTCCGTCCGTATAGCCTCAAACAGGCTGTTAGCGAGAAGATATGAAGGCCGGTACGGTGCACGAACGGGCGGGTGGCCAGCACCATACCCCCCCGGCCCCTTTGTCTTCCTGGTGCTGATGTTTACACATCACACCAAGTATTGATTTGAGGCTGAGTCGATCTAGGGCAAGCCCAGAAATGGTTCAGATAATAGTGGTGTTGACTGCCAGGGGGAATCGAAAAAAATGTCTACATCTGATTGGGAACATGTAGATAACATGACAGCTTCCTCAGCTGCTACAATGGCAGTTAAATGTAAAGATAATCTGATTTCCAAGTTCAACCTCCTTTCCAAGAAGAAACCAGATCCACACATTAAAAAGTTATATCCCAATTTCCGACGGTCTAAAGTCGGTTTTGGCTAAAGACTTGAACTTCGCAGTCACCCCCAAACACATACCAGTAGATGGCATTATTGCTCAGGTCGATGTAGCTCTGAAGGGTTTGGGACACATCGCTGCAGACGTGACAAGATCTGAAATCGCTGCAACCCTCAAAAGCGCTAAGGTACCGTCGGCAACATCAGTAAGGAGGTGCGTTTTGAGTTATCTCAATTAAAAAAGAGGTAAGATATCGTCGTCTTCGCCTCCAACTCCGCCTCTATCTCACGCTTTACTCCTTCTTCTCGCGCTTTACTCCGACATCAGCACTGGCTGCCCCGCCCATGCTGGTTACGCCGCACAGCTTTCCTTGCTGCTGCCTCGCAACTCTCGTCCCTCGCCCACTCACTTTGGATGCCCTTATAAGCAGTTGCATTTGGAGGCTTGCCCCCTCTTTTCTCTCTGCATGCTGAAGACCGCTTGTGTTGCGATCGAAACGTTGTGGGTTTTTTTGCTTTTATTTTTTTTATTGTAATTTTATTTTTATTTTCTATCTACGTAACTTTACCGAAAGAACCAAGAATATGAATTCCTTCAGTCACGAAAGTTAAGTAAAATTTTTACTGGACCTTGAGTAAACAGGGAGAGAATGAAGCCGTGTGGACAACCAGATGGTGGTTTCAGACAACACGAGCAGCTAAAAAAAATGGACCCTCCCAATGAGCAGGACGTGTGGGGGATTGGAAGGCAGTGGTTATTGAAGCAGAGCGGTCAAAGGTGATGTGAGATGAGGTGAGAGGAGGGGGCTAATTCATTAACGAATGTATTAGTGCTCATGGTGTAGTGGATAACATGGGTGCCCCTGGAGCTGGCGACCTGGGTTCAAATTGCCGAGTAAACTTCCAGGTCACTCTTGCAAGTGAGAATATTTTTGTCTCTGGAGTTCTCATCTGGCTTAACAAAATAAGACTCGGCACTTGAAGGGTTTCACTTCAACAGGGAGCGTTCTACCACGGGTTCTCGTGTGTCACGTTAGCCCATAGCGTCAAACCCTCGCGCTCTCACGGACACGCTCACTCTCTCACTCCCTACCTGCTGGAAGAACGAGGAGAACTCTTGGGTGGAGGAGGTGGCCTTGTTGCGCAGGGCGATCTCCCCGACTGTGTCCTGCAGGAACCGCGCCATCTCCAGTTTCACCCGCAGCTGCTGCTGCAGACGCTCCTCCTGCACGGAACGATGACACACATTACACGCCAAGCCACACAAAGCACACACAAAACACACAAATGTACCAAGTCACTGGTGGCAAAGCTGAGTCAATCAACTCCCGACACCTGAGAGCCCAAACGGTTGATCAGATTTATATCCAGATTCTTAGTAGTGCCAGCCCAGCGTTCTGAGCCTCTGAGGTATCGGGCCGCTGATAATCTCCTCTCACTTTCATTGGAACCTGCCGAAGTGTTTGAAATTATCGTTATCATTAAAATAGATTCAGAGAACAGATAGCATCTCCAACATTAACCCACTAGTGTCAGGGTCAGTGCCACCATAATCAACAGAGACAACAATGTTGTGATGTGTAAGAATGCGACGCAATGAAAATAAATGTTAATCATTTCTCAACTGATAAAAGTAAAAGTGGCTGGCAGAGGCCAGATGGCTGCCACGGTGAAAGCTCGCCAAGCCAGCACGGCAAAGACAGCGGGGTAAACATCCACGTTCACCTGCCTGACGAATCACTGAACAGAAAAATCACTAAGATGCATTTGGTTTTTAAAAAGTTATTTGGCATACTGAGGCTACTGAAGGGACAGAAGAGTTTAGTGGCATCTTCTTGGGCAGGACATAGGCCCACATCACGCTGTTGATTATAAGATCTGCAAATAGAAATGTCTTAATCTCATGCGAGCATGATTCCCAGAGCATGAAAGTTCGACAAATATGAGAAAAACAAGTGAGTGGTGAAGGTTCTGGCATAGATGTCTGTCTACTGAGCAGGCTCTCCAAATAAAGTGGTTTTGCTAAATGTCATCTCAGGGGGCCTAACAGGGCCTACTGCGCGGACGCTATCAGATCAGCGGTCACAGCAGCAGCAGGGGGAGAGGGGGTCAAAGCTGTGAGTGGGGGGAGCTGGGTGTGGGTGCCACCTTCTTGGAGAAGGTCTCGAACGTGGAGGGCAGCATGTTGGGGAAGAGCTTGAGGAAGACGGGTAGCAGGAACTCCATGAAGGGCACGATGATGAACACGAGGAAGGGCAGCAAGCGGAAGAGGTCTGCACACGTCCGCAGCAGCTGCCAGGCAGAGCATAGTGAGAACACGGGGCTTGTCTTGACCAGCCATGAACTAAAATAGATTGCTACATGCATCCAATTGTGCGCACACCCAAGACACTATTGGAAATTCAGGAACGCCACCGCACTCGGCTGGGCGCTTGCACCCATCCCGCGGCAGCGTGCGAGTGAGGGAGGCGCTGGCGGAGGACCCACCTGCCGGCGCTCCCTGCGGTTGAGCTGGTTGCCGTGCAGGATCTGCCAGACCATGCGTGCGGCGACGCGCGTGTCGATGCCGAGCAGGCGGAAGCCGTGGTAGTAGTGCCGCAGCTCGGCAACCACGAGGGCCCCAAGGTGGCGCAGCTTCGTCAGCGCGGCCGGGCCCGGCTGCCGCGGAGGCGCCACGGGCGCGGCCGGCGCTTCGGCCTTCTGCTCGCCTGGGCCGGC